AAGTTAGTTGTGTGTGTGTGTGTGTGTGTGTGTGTGTGTGTGTGTGTGTGTGTGTGTAAAATAAGATGTTACTATTTTTTAAATGCCTCTGCTAGACTACTTGCATTAAAGAAACTGCATTCATCAAATGAGAGGAAAAAAGTTGGGCATACATAGCAAATATTGGTTTTAGTCTGCTTCCATCTTTGAACTAAGTTTACACTAAACTACTCTTCCCCAGTTCATAAGTAGACCTTGCAAGCCAATATTAAATTTACTGTGCATGTTTTGCCTTTTTAATATCCTGTTTTCAAATGCATCATGTTATAAACAGCCCATATCACATACCTGTTATTTCTTATATCTGCAAGTTGTGTACGATTTTTTTAAGTACTATTAAAATATTCTTTTATGTTTCTATTTGTAGCCCTTCAGTGTGCCATTGAGCTTGCTAAACAAATCTCTGCCTTTCCTCAACAATGCATGCGAGGAGACCGAAGTTCTGCTTATTACAGTGTCTTTGATGCCGCCTCATTCACAGAAGCCCTGCAATTTGAGTTTGACACCGGTGTGCAAGTGATTTCCAAAGAGTCTGTCCCTGGTGCTAAAAAGTTCAGCTTAGGGGTGGGACGTGGAGGAAAGTTATAAAAGTCAAATATTTTCTGCGTGTAGAAAAGGTTTACTAATAATTAAAACAGTAGAAGTCTACTGAATTTACAAAAATAATGGAAGTCCTGAAAAAATTATTATATAAATTCAAAATTTATAATTTACTCTAGGGTACATAATCTTGATGTATGGGAAGTTGTATACATAATTGTGTTAGCAAGGGTTATGTACATACCCTGTGTTAATATATTTTATATCTAAAAATCATTGTCATAATGAAAAATTTCAATTTTTATTGTACTTTTGTTCTGCAGTCCTGAAGTAAAGCTAATTCTTTTACATTTTTTTTATTTGAGTATTTTAGCCATTAGTCTTTATTAAAAGAAAAAGGAATTGCTTCCCATAACCAGTGTATAGCACTACTAAAAATGCATGACAGTAACATAATTTATGTAAACAAAGCCGATTGATTTGCCAAATGAAGACAACCAAAAACCAACTACTTATTTTTAGGCACAGCTTTATTTACTTACAACCTAAACACTAGAGCTGCCAGAAGAAATTAACTACTATAGTTAATTCTTATTTTCAAAACTCCATATCTTGAAACACACTTCCTCTGGTAGCAGATCTGTTCATGGAACTATTTACAGTATATTAGCGACAAAGAAAACCTGCACCTGCTCAGTTCTCATACAGCCTGGATCTTGGCTTATGGGCAATAATTTAAAAGAAGTTAACAAAAATTAAACCATTTTACTGCTAACTTTCCAGTATGGATGTCTTTCAGAAACAGTTATGCACGAGCTTTTCATTTCACCACCAGATGTCCTCCAGGAGTAGGAAAATATGATGACCTGAAAGATATTCTGAAGCCTGAGTCTACAACATTTTTGAAGATATGACAGTGAAAGGAAAGTTTGAGTGAAAGCAAATGTTACCACAGAATTTTGGATGGTGTGTGTGTTGTGGAGGCTTTCTGGCAGGTGAAAAATTCTTTCAGTAGCACGAACGTATTTATTTAACTCTTACAGTGTTTGTCATAGTCTGCAACAGATTACATACATGCCTTTCCTTTTGCCTTCACCCAGAGAATTAGGTATTGCTCTCTATTCTTTATCCTTTTTAGAAATGTGCAATTTTTCAAACATGTTTGTTTGAAATTTGAAGCTGTGGTATAACCTCTTTAAGAAGACCTAAATCTTTCATCCCTTCCAGTGAGTTCCTGACGAAGCAAAGCAATGTGTTGGCTTGTCTACTGCTGATAACATGGTCAGAATCCAAAACAAGGCATTCTGATTCAGGTGATCGTGGCAGCTCTTCAGGAACCCTAGGGAAGTAGTCCACATCATTGGTAAGAACTACTAAAGAAAGACTAGCGACTAAGGCCTGGTCTACACTGGGGGGATTGATCTAAGTTATGCAACTTCAGCTACGTGAATAACGTAGCTGAAGTCGACGTACTTAGATCTACTTACTGTGGTGTCTTCATTGCGGCAGGTCGACTGCTGCCGCTCCCCCGTCAACTCTGCCTTCGCCGCTCGCCGAGCTGGAGTACAGGAGTCGATGGGAGAGCGCTCGGGGGTCGATTTATCGCATCTAGACTAGACGCGATAAATCGACCCCCGCTGGATCGATCGCTGTCCACCGATCCGGTGGGTAGTGTAGACATACCCAGAGCTACAGTACTGTAGCAAAGAGTCCAGATTATTTGTTATGGAGAGGTTAAGTCATCATGCTGGTTTGTATAGAAAGTCTACCATAATAAGACTGAGGTAATTTAGCAGAGCGGTGCTGGAAAGTTCAATGTGTCCGTATCCCGACACTGCATTGGTCCTGGGGTGCCCAAACACTGCCACTTCTATAGCTATATTACAGTGACACATACTCAAAACTCAATATTTTACTTTAAGAATAAAAAAGCGTAGATGTTGTATGCTTGTTATGGATCATCAGAAAAGCAGTGTTCACTACCGTGACAACTATCCCAGGGTTCAGTCCTAAAAGGTGCTGAACACTTTTAACTCAAGTTGATTCAAGAAGAGATGAGGGCACTCAAGCTACATAGTTAACTCTGGAAAATATATATATTTAAAATGTGACACTTCCTTCTGTAGTATCCAAAATATGAAGCAGAATTTATAAGACTCTTGTGGAGAAAGTGATGTAAACTGCCCCTAAACAGACATACAGTGGAAAGGTGGGTGAGGTAATATCTTTTATTGGACTAACTTCTGTTGGGGAGAGAGACACGTTTTCAGGCTTACACAGAGCTCTTCTTCAGGTCTGGGAAATGTACTCAGTGTCACAGCTAAATAGAAGGTAGAACAGATTGTTTAGTAGATGTAATTAACATATTTCAAGGGAACATTCAAGGTGAAGTGGCCTGTTAACACCCTCCATTCATGGGGGTGGAGGGGAGAATCATTAAATTCTTCCCTAAACAACTCTAAGAGAAACTTTACAACTTCATCCCCCACAAACCCACCCCAGGGATCTTCCCCATGCTTCCCAAAATACACAAACAAGGGAACTCGGGCAGACCCATCATATCTGGCCACTGCATTTTTCACTGAAGGAATATCGGGCATCATAGAAATCATCCTCAAACTACTCACCACCCAAAGGTCCAGCTTCCTCTAGGACACTACCAACTTCCTCCAGAAACTCCGCAACATTCACAATTTCCCTCAGAACACCATCCTTGCCACCATGGACGTCACCTCCCTAGACACCAACATCCCTCACCACGACTGCATTGTTGCCTGCCTCAAATATTTACAAGCTAATGGACAACACTCAGATATCCACCCCAAACACATCGCCAAGCTCATTCATTTAATTTTTGCCCCAAACTATTTTTAATTCAACAACAAACACTTTGACCAAACCATGGGAACAGCCATGGGTGCTAGGATGGCTCCCCAATACAGGACTACCTAAACTCCCTCAGATTTCCATCACAACTCAACCGCTGCCACCCGTCCATTAAACTCTAGAACAACTTTCAGGACATCACGATCAGCTTCATCAATGGAACCCTACAGACAACTATATACAAGAAGCCCATAGGTCACCACACATACCTTCACAGATCCAGTAACCACCCCAAACACACCAAGAAATCTGTTATCTACAGCCAGGCACTCAGATACCACAGAATATGCTCAGAGGAGAAAGTCCAGCACCTTAACATATATGTACACCTGAACACACTTAAAACTGCCTTCACCAACCAAGGACACTCTGCTAGAGAAGTAGATTGCATCATGAAACAGGCCACCCAAATACCCTGAGAGAACCTGCTTCAATACAGAAATAAAACCCCTTCCGACCGCACACCCCTAGTTGTCACCTGCCACCCCACACTGGAACCTATATGGGGTATCAAACAACTACAACCCATACTCAATGGGGACCCCATTCCTGAACCCCCTCTTCTGGTCTTCAAACAACCCCCAGGCACTCCAAGATCATCAGAAGCAAGCTCCCTATAGACCAGGACACACCAACTCAAAGCTGCACCAGGCTCTGTCAGAACAACAGATGCAAAACCTGCAGACAGATCTGCATTGCTTCAATGTTTAACACCCCCCAAAACACACCTTTCAAGATCCCTGGTCCTGCACCTGCCCATCACAACATGTGGTGTACCTCATCCAGTGTACTAAATGCCCCAGTAACAATGATGTGGGTGAAATGAAACCAGACGATCACCATGCTCTTGAATGAACTCACAGTGGAAGGTTTCAGGGTAGCAGCTGTGTTAGTCTGTATCCTCAAAAAGAACAGGAGTACTTGTGGCACCTTAGAGACTAACAAATTTATTAGAGCATAAGCTTTCGTGGGCTACAACCCACTTCTTCGGATGCATCACAGTGGAAGATGATCAAAGACAAAAGCACCACATCACCTGTTGCTGAACATTACTTTCACAAAACCTTCACTCCATATCTGACCTGTCAGTCCTCATCCTCAAAGAAAACCTGCACCATACCTTCAAAAGATGAGCCTGGGAACTTAAATTCATAACTGCTAGACACTAAAAATCATGGATTGAACAGACACAGTGGATTTATGGCTTATTACAACTATGTATAGCCCGCTAACCTGTGTTCCGTCCCCCATCCCCCCCCACCACCCCAGGGACTGGACACTTCACTTTGAATGGTCCCTTGAAATATGTGTTATCTACTTATGCTAATCAATCTGTTCAACCTTCTATTTAGCTGTGACATTCTGAATACATTTCCTAGGCCTGAAGAAGAGCTCTGTGAAAGCTTGAAAACTTGTCTCTCTCACCAACAGAAGTTGGTCCAATAAAAGATATTACCTCATCTACTTTGTCTCTCTAATGTCCAACAGGTCAACAGCACTGCAAACATACAGTGGAAAGTCAGGTCCATTGTTATACCTGAAGAGTGAAAAATCAGGCCCAATAAATTAACATCGTGAAAGTAGCTGCTCCTTTCTGAGCCCACCTCTCCAATGATTACTTGCATGGGTGTTTGTAGGTACTGGATAAGTATGCAGGCAAATCACAGCTCCTAACATCTACATCATCAGCTTTTGGAATATCCTTCTGTAGTTTGTCATAAAAGGCATACAGAATAACCTCTCCATGGCTTTGGGAGGGAAGCCAGAATTAGAATGGATAACTTACATTCTATGCTTCTTCCCCTGGGGTTCAAGTTTTCTGGCAGCTGCCCATACCAGAAATCTACCAGCACCTACCATCCCTCAGAGCTGTTTGTTTGGGATTTTTAGCTACATAGTAAAAACCAGCATCATTGCTCTAAACTAAAATTACACAGACAAATTAGAAAGATTAGTGTATACAAAGATACGGTTTAAAAACAGATGCATAATGGTGTACAGTGGTGACAATATTACTTCAGATTGCATGCCCTTTAAGGACACCAGCTGCATGTGCTAGCAATGCAAAAAAAGGAAATGTGCAAGATACTGGGGTTGGATCATCCCTACCCTCCTCCTCATCCTCACACACTAAAACACAGGGGAGGGGGCTAAAGAGGAAGATATTTCTGAGGACCCCCTACCCAGCCTTCCTGTTTTTTCATTGGGGAGAGGAGGGAGTGTGGTTTGCATCCCCATGGAACAAGCAACAGGGTTGGCCCTGGATAATCACCAGGGATTTCTGTGGATCCTAGGAGATATGTCAGAAGCCACTAGTTTTGGTCCCTAGCACTCCCCAGCTGCACTGGAACTCCTCTAGCTCATAATCTTCACACTATGTAGGGGAGTCCACAGAACAGCTAATAATCTCCATGAAGGCAGAGGGAGGACAAGATGCATCCTGGGCCATGCCTCAAGCCAGCACATGCCAACTCTCTC